TATTGTCTTAGTCATTTATGAAGAATACAAGTAAAAGTCACAAGAAACTGGCAGGGCCAGGATTTGAAACTACACTTAAGCTACAACTCCAAAAAGCACATGGTACAAAGTGGTCACAAGAACCAGTTTAAGAAGCTTGAACATACAAACTGCCATTGATTTAAACAGGAGGCTAAAATTAATTTTAATCGGAAATAACAGGACATCTTTTCATGTAGGCTGACAGACCATCAGTTTCTGTTGTACACAAATGCACACACACAAAATTTCATGCTCGCACAACCCCAGCCAGACAGAAACCACAGGCATGGTTCGTCACTGCAATGGAGACCACATGTCTGCGGCTTGCATTCCCACAGTACGCTGATTTTTTTTTACCTCACACACACACACACACACACGCACACACACACACAACACTACAATATTAATCCTCAAGCAGATGACAGACAAGAGGAAATGTCAGTTAAGGAGCCTTCATAATGTGGATTAACAACTATTTGACATAAAACAATCAGAGTCAATAAACGGACAATGATTCCTCAAACAAATTCAATACATTCCTCCCTGAAAATGGACTCATTGAAGCATTTTTGTGGTCTTTTTTTCTGTTTCAGAGCCCCCCAATCTATTGAGCCAGGAAAAATAAATCTGGGGAATGGATGAAAGAATGGAAGAACATACTGTGTCTTTAAGGTTGATGGGGCTTTTGAGTTCACACAGCAGTTGGACAATCTGGATGTTCCCGCTAGCAGCTGGAAGGGGGTGAAACAAAACAAGAGAAATTAAAACAAGAGAGTGAGGAAAAATAGGATTGTGTTTAACAGAAACTAACTGGGCTAAAATGCATTTTAGTCACTTACGACCAAATATGATGATGATTTTATTCAAATAAAATTAGAGCTTAAAACTAGTAGATATTATTCCAGATCCTTTTCAAAGCATAGCATCCTATTTTTTATTTTTTATTGTTTTTTTTAAATCAGTGACTCTCAAGATCCTGATATACTTACCAGCGTGATGCAGAGCAGTCTTTCCTGATCCATCTACAGCATCGATAGGACATTTACTCTGGATAAAGTGGGAAAGTTATTAGTAACAATAGCATACAGTATACGCATACAGCATATGCAATGACTATTGTTAATCAAGTGAAATCATGAAAGGCCCCAAACAACTCAAAATATACGTTTTAAATTTGGTTTGAAGTATCTGTGTGTTGCTTGCTTAATTTAAATTTTTTTTTTATAAACTGTGTATACACACTGGAGTTTATTATCTGAGGAACTGATGCCACAATCTGTTTGCCAGTGGTGCTTCAGGCAAATGCAATTTCATGTAATATGAGATTATACCATAAATTCATACATCTGCAGTAAACAATTGTGGTGCGGGTGTGGTCTCTGGCCCACTGCAGAGGAGGGCTGGCATGATGAGCTCCCAGGCCGGTGTTGGGGTCCAACGTCACAACAATATATGACTGAATGTTTTTGGTTCTTCTCTTTTTCACAGTACTGTGTTTTGCTATATACAAAAAGACTTGAATGACTATTTGATCAGGCAGGTGCATGTTGCTGAGATGCTGCCGACTGTCACGAGGAAGTGAGGTCAGCAGATCAAAGCTGGATGTGTGTGTGTGTCTCTGCTAAGATCTGCTGACCAAAACCCAAACACGCACACACAAGAATCAGCAGATTGAAGAAATGAAGCAATAAAATTTTTTGGTTTCAGGCATCTTCACTGAACAGTAACATGATTCAAGATGTGGGTTTCACACACTGTTATTCATAAACAAGAACAAGTGGTCCTGCTGGGTGACACTGACAGTCACAATCAAAACAATCTTAAGTTAATATTTATATCAGTTCTTTGTTGTATAACACATCTTGAAGTCATGTTGCCTAATCATTTATACCCAACATAATTTATAGCCCTTATATTAAGAACTATGTCAGCAACCTTTTTTGCGCCATGGACCAGTTTATGTCCGACAATATTTTCACAGGCTGGCCTTTAAGGTGTCGTGGAAAAATACAACAAAATAACACCAGTACCAATACAAAAAATGGGAAGATTTATTCATAACACACAGGAAAAGACCCAGGGAAATCGAGTTAACATTAAAAATGCTAAAAAAAAAAAAAAATAACGATAAAAAAACGATAAAAACCCTGAAAACTATAAATTTCACACCCAAGCCTCAACTCTCGCGGTCCAGGGTTGGGGATCACTATGTCTCATCTTAACACTGAGAGACCAGGGTATATGTATTTTAAATATCTGGCTTGACAGACTGAATCAATTTCTTTTTAATTCAAAGGCATTTGGGGAGGGAAATTAAATAGTTTTAACTTAATAAAACTCAACTTCATTTCATGAGCTTTACCTGAATGAGTTTTCTGCAGCATTCGGTGTGGTTGTTTTTGGCAGCCAGGTGTAAAGGACTAAAACCTACACAAAGGGGAAAAAGAGAACTGTTCATGTTACAGTATTTATAGAGGGAAACTCTCAAATATATGCAGAAACTATTTTTTAAGTTATAGTGAACATAGCTATACATACCAGCAGCATCAGTGACTGACAGGTCAGCTCCATGAGCCAAGATGAAAGAGAGGCAGTCTATCTGACCA